ATTAAAATGCCAAATTCAGTTGGAATATCTGGCAAGTTCGTAAGCATCGATTCCTCTTGGCTTCTAGCGGCTCGCTAAGAAAGGATTCTTCGAAATGACCCATCAGAGCATTTAGAATATTTCCTATATTATTATTATTATTATTATTATTATTATTATTAACACGCTCCGATGCTAAGGAGTTCGACTCCCCCTTCCCACCTGGAAAGAAATCTGTTCCAAAGGCAAAACACAAGCCAAGGAGTTTCCGTTTCACAGCACCACCAAGCAGTTTTTAGTCCAGAACAGTTGAGCTAAGCCACGCCCCAGGCTCCTTGCTGTCTCCTCCTTGCTCACCCAGCAAATACTCGTTCTGTTTCCAAACAGCCCTCAGCTCTCTCACGCACTGACAGGTGACAGGTGAATACCGATGGAGGCTGGCAGGCAGGGGCAGAATATTTTTTCTCTCCCTTATTTTCCTCCCCCCAAAACTAAGCCCTAGCACAGAGTTTCGTAGCGAGGCCCGTGGGTCCAAAGCTAGTTAATAATAATCTGCAACCCCGAGAAACATCCAGATCTGCCTTGGGAAAGATTCCATAGGTAAGATTAAAATGTCGGAACATTTGGCCGGACCGTGGTAATAGTAATATTTAAAAAACAAAACCAGAGATTTCTTTGCAGATTCTTTCCACTTTATTTGAACTCAAGGCACCCCCCCAAAAAACGGTTTGGCCACCGGAGGTGAAGAACAGGAAAATAACCCCCAAAGCTTTGAGAGGAGGGTGGGGGAGCCTGCAACCACCCCTGAATTGCGCCTCTCCACAATCCTCACCCCCTATTTCCACCCCACTCCCTTTCCTTGTTCCCAAATAAAAGCGTCGAAGGCAGGTTCAGAAAGGGAAGGAGGAGTTTGGGTTGTGAATCTCCCGGGGACAGCCAGGAAAACGCCTGGAAAACCTTTGTGTGGCTCGCGGAAAACATTTGGTTGCATTTCTGGATCTGGATCTGGATCTGGATCTAGGAGGGGAGGGGGATCATCCGGACGAAGGATCAGCGAACGATTTAAACAGGTGGACGTTCAACGGGGCAGCTTCCTTCCCCGGTTGTGCTGCGCGAGAACTTCCGAATAAGAGCATTTGTCAACCTTGGTGGCTTTAAAGACACCGGGGGACAGACGGACGGAACTAGAACTCCCAGAATTCTGGGAGTTCTAGTTCCGTCCGTCCGTCCCGTATTAAAGTCACCGAGGGGCACAAACACTGCAGACACAGAGAAGACAATTCACCAGGTGAGGCTACCCCACCCTGGCACGGTTCAGACATGCTGGGGTTGCAAGCGAATCGGGTGGCTGGCTGGCTAGCCAGCCATTTTGGAAACTGCGCACCGGGTGGGGCGTTTTGGATGGTGCCGGGTTCGGGAAAGGGCCGCCCCTTTCATGCGTGGGAGAATAATGCCTCGGCTGTCGGAAAACAGTGGCCGCGTACGCACAAGTCGGGAGAGTGGGTGAAGCGAGGAAGGTTGGATGAAATTCCTCCCCCCCAAAAAAAGCCGGAGTTTACCCAACATCCTGGATTACCCGCCGATAGCCATTTAAGGAAGAAACAAGCCAGGATCTGACGATTTCGGGGGAAGGGGCAAAGGGGTGGGGGGGTCCAGCCAGGATGAAGTGGCGAGAAACAGAAAAACTGAGCCGGACACCCGGTTTCTTCGCGGTGAGATTTGTACCGATGGGTCGGTGGCGGATGACGGGGAAGAGATGGGACATGCCACGATGCGTCCGATGTTGGTTTATTTACAAGAGGTGCAGGAGGGACCATCGGAGGGGTGTGGTACTAACAAGCAGGAAAAACACTGTGAAAGAAAAGAGAGAAAGAGGAGACGTGTTTAGCTGGGGAACCTCGATTTTAGCGTTGCCGTCTTGCGTGATGACGCCCGCCCCGCATGCCAGATAGTCCTCGACTTACGACAACGAAACGCCCAAGTTTCTGCCGTGGAGCGAGCTTTTTTTAAAGACCGTCTTTAAAAATGACAGTTGGCCTGTTTTACGACCGTTTTTGCCAGGCTTGTTGAGTGAATCGCTGCGGTTAAGCTACTTAAGACGGTCGTTAAGTCAATCTGGCTTCCCCCGATGTCAGAGGGTCGCAAAAAAAGGCATCACGTGACTCCGGGACGCTGCGACCATCACAAATAGGAACCGGTGGCCAACCGAATATAAATCATGTGACGATGGGAAATGCTGCCACGGCCGTTAAGTGTGAAAAAAGGGTGGTGAGTCAAGTTTTCTCGATGCCATAGTTTCAGTCACCGAACGTTTGTAACTCGAGGACTATCCGTACGGTTCTTCCCGCCAGCTTTGTCCCTCCGAGCTCCACCCCAGCCCCAATCTAGCAGCTCAACAACATCTGGTGACCACAACCGCCAGCCTTACCATTGAAATCCGCCGATGGGCTCCGTGAACCTGTGACGGATGAGGAACGTTGCCACGGCTTCCGCTACCTGAAAGAGAGAGACCGGAGGGGGGGAGGGTTGTTGTTTTTTTCCGCGGAGACGAAGGGGACTCTCCCCCTTTTCCCTGGGACGGGCCCTCCCCAACCCACTGGGAACCCCTGCGTTCTGCACCTTCCTTGCTCTCTCCCGCAAAGGAACCGTTCACGCTGACGGGTCAGGCCTTGCCCACTGGAGCCCGGAAGGTGGTTTCCAGAGAACATTAACCGAACTAACAACAGAGTTGGAAGGGACCTTGGAGGTCTTCTAGTCCAACCCCCCTGCTTAAGGAGGAGATGATCCTAGGCCAATCTGGACAAATGGCTTTCCAGTCTCTTCTTGAAAATCTCCAGTGATGAAGGACCCACCATGCTGTGAGGCAAGTTGTTCCATTGATCTGTCTGTCCATCAATCATCTATCAATCGTGCCTGTCTCTGTCTAATCAATCTATCTGTCAATCATCTATTTAGCTATCTATCTTCCCTCTCCCTCCTCCATCTTTGTCTCTATCTGTCTATCATCTTTCATCTATTTATCTATCATCTCTCTCTCCATCTATCTTTGTCTCTAACCTGTCTATCATCTCTTTCATCTATCTATCCATCCATCTTCTATTTATCTCTCCATCTTTTTGTCTCTATCTGACCTATCATCTCTTACATCTATCTATCTATCTATC